TGCTCGAGCAGAAGAATGGAATCTGGAATTTTCAGATTGCACTCCCAAGATCAAAACTCGAATCAAACACTTTAAAACTCATCCTTTTGGACTAAAAACTTGAGGAAACTTGTATAAACTTGGAAAATATCTTGAATTCAGAACCATTTCGTAAAATCGAGGTCCAATAGCATGCCAATTGATCAAAAGTCAACTTGAATGAATATGCCATGAACATGACATGCATGAATTACTATGAATTTAGACTCTCCAAAACATGATCAATTAAGGTCAAATGGTAAGAAATGTGATGAATTCTCAAAACCAAGTGAAAACAGACACATGCATGTGGAAATTCTTTTAAAACAAACTCAAAATGCTATCATATTTGAAAACAGACACATGAATGGCTCAATTTTCTTCATTTCTAGCTTAGTTCTTCCATTATTCAACTTAATTCTCTTGAATTTGAGGTCTAGATATCATATTTGAACAAGCCAAAGGTTGAATTCTTACCTAGGCTTGCCAATGAGAGGGCTAGAAGCTTGTTTCTTGTATCTTTAAGTTCAATTCTTTCAATTCCTAGCAAATCCTTTAATTTGAGCCCAAGGTTTCTCCTTTCTCTCCTCCCTCACCGTTTCTCCTACTTGTATAGGCTCAAAGATGTGTTGAAGAAAAGAAATGTAGCACATATGGGAGCCTTATATAGGCTTGGTTAATGGTTTAATTAAATTGTTGATAAACTAATCAATTGGACATTAAATTATTCTAATTTAATCATTCCAAATCGAATTTTAATTAAACCTACCATAATGTTCTAAAAATCCTAAATAGAACATAAATCAAGCCAATTTTGTGATCGGATGTTAATAAGACCTTCAATTCACAGAACAAAACAAAAACTCAAGCATATATTTCTACATTAGACATATATAAGCACAAATAATGTGACACACATGCAATTAATTTTAGAATTTCCACTTAATCACTGATTAGGCTTATTAAATCATGAATTAACGTTAATCAGAGGTCGGGGTTGTTACAGCAAGCCTCATAAAAGCTAAACAACCCCAAACTCTCAAATAACCTAGATTTGGTTTATGCCCCCGCCAGAGCTCATAAGGTACAATTTTAGTCTTTTTGTGTGGCGCTCTATTTATCACTTGGCAAGCTGTCAAAATAGCACCACCCCAAAGATTTGAGGGAGCATCTAAATCAATAAGCATAGCATTCGTCAGGTCAATTAATGTTCTATTTTTTTCTTTCAGCTACACCATTAAATGAAGGTGAATATGGTGGAGTAGTCTCATGAATAATTCTCAATGACTGAACAAAAGAGTTGAAGTCATACTCCCAATCTCTATCACTTCTAATTCTCTTAATCTTTTTACCAAATTGATTTTCCACTTCAAGAAGGAATTCTTTAAATTTCTCAAAAGCATCACTTTTATTTTTTAATAAATATACGTTTGTGTATTTTGAAAAATCATCAATACAAGTGATAAACTATTGGTTACCAGAACGAGTTAAAATTCCTTCAAAGTCACACAAATCAGTATAAAATAATTCTAGCAATTCGGTATTTTTCTCAACACTTTTATGAGGTCTCTTGGTAATTTTTGCTTTACTGCAAACTTCACATTTCTCAATTTTTTTTTTTTGTGGTCATTTTAGGAATTAATCCTAAACTACTCATGATTCCCACATATTTATTGTTAATATGATACAAGCGAGTATGCCAAAAATTAAGAGAAGACAAATCATAAACCAAATTGGTAGATAGTTTATTAATCTCAACATTCAATTTGAACATCCCATCACAAGCATAACCCTTATGTACAAAAATACCCTTCTTGGTAATCACATATTGATCAGATTCCAAAGTTTGCTTAAAGCCAACCTTATTCAACAAATAACTTGACATCAAATTCTTCCTCATGGACGGTGTATAAAGCACATCTTTTAAAGTAAGCACACGTCCAGAGGTGAACTTAAGGTCAACCTCACCACTCCTAAGTATCTTGGTTTAACTAGAGTCACCAAGCATAATTGTTTTCTAATCATCAAAGGAAGTATAGACCTTGAACCAAACGTTATCATAACAAACATGTCTATTAGCACCAGAATCTGCCCACCAACCGTCCACATAATTAACCATGCAAATGTCTGTAATCATCGCCACAAATGGCTTCTCGATAACGTTAGCCTTTGGGGCAGGTGCACATTTTCGGAAGTTGCAAGTTCGAGCAATATGCTCATTTTTGCCACAGGCAAAGCATGTAAAATTTTGTGGAGGTGGTGGACCTTGGCTCTTTTTTGGATTAATCCATTTATTGTGAGGTTTACCATAATTCTTCATATTCTTCTTATAAGGCTTCAAATAAGCATTCTTGGAATTGTGACCTTTGGGTAAGTTATTATTTGCTGAAACAAAGTTTACATTTGTAGCGGAATTGTCATTACCCTGTTGTGTTATTAATGCATCTTGGCCTCTGGCCTCCTCTTCGACTCGGATGCAAGTGATCAACGCTTCTAAGGAAGTCTCCTTTTGTTTGTGGCGCATGCTCTTTCGAAATTCTCTCCAAGTGGCGGTAACTTGTCAACAAGTCCTACAACTGCCAAGTTGTCACCAATCTTGATGCTTTCAGATCTTACTTCTGCAACTATCATTTGGAAATCTTGTACTTGCTTCACAACAGATTTTCTATCCACCATTTGGAAGGAAAAAAAATCGGATAGCTGCATACTTTTTTGCTTCTGGCTCTTTAGTATCATATTTAGTCTATAAAGCTTTCCAAATTTTCTTTACGAAAGTGTAAGTGGTGTCATAGTAATCATAAAATTGATTAGCAAGGCAATTTAAGAGATAAAAATGATATTTATACTCATTTGTATTGTATGAAGCCACTTTTGCTTCATGTGCCTTGTAGTCTTCATCATTCATCTCCTCGGTTGGGATTTTGTTTGGGTTCTTCTCAGTAAGAACATAAGCAACTTTCAAAAGGCTGAGGTAAAAAAGAATTTTTCCTTTCCACCTCTTAAAATGAACTCCTTTGAACTAGAAAGGCTTGTTGAGATCTCCAATTCTGTCATTGATTTTTTGGTATTTGTTCCATTTTGATCTGCTTAAAATTGTTGGTGAAAATACTAGAAGAATTATATTTTATTGATAAGGGAAAATTACATTAATAATCCCTATAGTTTGAGACTTATGTCACTTTGGTCTCTAACTTTTTAATTGTGACACATTTGATCTTAAATTTTGAATCTTGTTCCAAATAAGGACAATTAAAGATACCATTGCTCAATTTCAAGGGCAAATTCGTCAATTTGATAAAATATATACTAATTTGAAAAAAATAAATGTCAAAAAAATATTTTGAAATTTTAAAATATTATCTATACCCACCAAAGATAAAACTATGTAAAATTGATAAATCTTTTACACATTTATTCATTTATTTTTACCAAATTAATTTTTGTTATATGTTTGGATGATGATCATGTAATGGGCGGTTGTTTCTGTTTTCATTAAATTAGTTTTTATTTTTTTCGAAAATCAAATATGACAACAACTTTGATATTATTATTAAACCAATCCATTAAATAAAAAAAATACAAAACTAAAAACATTTCAAATATTAAATGTATCGATTATACATTAAAAGGCTAACAATCAACTATTACATGATCATCACCCAAACATGTAATAAAAATTGATTTGGTAAAATAAATAAATAAATGTGTAAAAGGTTTATCGATTTTACATAATTTTATCTTTGATGGGCAGAAATAATTTTTAAAAATTCAAAACAATTTTTTTGACATTTATTTTTATTAAATTAGTTTATATTTTATCAAGTTGATGACTTTGCCCTTGAAATTGGGATTGGTATATTCAATTGTCCTTATTTGAAACAAGCTTCAAAATTCAAGGTGAAATGTGTTACAATTGAAAAGTCAGGGACCAAAGTAACATGAGCCCCAAATTATAGGGACTGTTAGTGTAATTCACCCTATTAATAAATAATGTAAAGAAAATGAGATACAAATAGATCATGCCGAGGCACGAATATCTCGTTTTCTTTAAAGAGATCAAGCCCACTGAGGTAGGAAGAACCCAAATACCGATGCAGCAGTCACTAAATTATGACTTGTCCCCTCCAAGATACAATAGCCCAACCACTTGTCATATGGTTCAGGCCACTTTGCACAAGATGGTGAATCCAAAGCTCCACCAAGAAAAAACACATTTCTTTGGCTAGTAATCTCTCAAGTGTAAAAACTAGTTGGTCTAGAAAAGAGTAGATGAGTGGAACAATTTATAGACCACTAGGACCTTACAAATTACACCAAAAAATAATGACCATTAAACTAGAGAACAAGGAGAGTCCCAAAACCTCCAAATATTAACTCACCACCAAGCTCGTGACCTTCCAATTAATCTCTGTTCATGAACAAAACAAAAGGTCACCAAAAATTTTAAAAAAAAAAGATTCATGGACAAGACAAAAGGTCACCAAAAAAATAAAAAATAAACAAAAGATCTTAAAATGGTCTAACAACTTACTTATCCAAAAAAAAAAAAAAATTAAAAAAAAAGGGATATTAGTTATTATAAACTGAGTCATATTAAGAAAAATTCAATAGTTTAATGACCAAATTCAAAAAATCTACGGGTTAAAGGCCAAAGTTAGAATTTGATAATAATTTAGTGGTGAACAGTGTAATTTACTCCTTAATTCTTACTATCATTGAGCACTGTACACCAAATGGCCATTATATAAATAGTTGTTAAATGAAGATCATTTGTTGTCGGAAGGAAGGAAAGGAAAAATAATTACAATCACAAGTCTATCAATATTCCTAGTGGTAACACTGCTTCGTTCTTGTATCTACTACCAATGGAGAAGTAAAATAACACATCTACAGAAAGGTAATTACAATTTTCTAGTGGTTTCCACAATTCTATTACAATTACAACCCACTATTAGTTAATTCTCTGTTCTTTTCTGTAGAAGATGATGGAAATAGCTCAGAAGTTGAATTGCTTGACTTGGCTGGAAGAGGATTTGGCAATGATTACAACAACGAAAATTTGCAAGCAGAGAAGCACGCGGAATTGCAAGACTTTCCTTCATTTTAGTTAGATATTATACTTGTAGCCACAGAACATTTTTCTGAAAAAAAAAAAAAAAGGAAGCTTGGAGAAGGTGAATTTGGTCCAGTTTACAAGAACTTTATGAAGTTCACGATGAATCTTTGAATAGTATAAATCATATATAGCTTATTAATTGTATACATTGTGGATCAAGTGATTGACAATGCAATGTTAGGTTCAAAATGCCATTATTCAAGTGACTACATGACTTGAAATTTGTTTGCAGGGTACGTTACCTGATGGCAGAGAAATTGTAGTTAAAAGGCTCTCAAGAACTTCCAGCCAAGGACTAAGAGAGTTCAAGAATGAAGTCATTTTAATTACAAGGTTACAACATATGAATCTTGTCAAACTCTTGGGTTGTTGCTTGAAGCAAAACGAGTCCTTGCTCATCTACGAGTGCATGCCCAACAAAAGCTTAGATGTCTTCTTCTTTAGTTTGGACTCTTTCTAGTCTAGTTACTTACTATTTGCTAATCAATCCAATTTTAATGAAACCAATACAAAACCAAAGATCAATATGAAGATATATAGTAATTTTATTTGTTCAATTGTTAGATTCAACTATAGGCAAGTTGCTAGACTGGAAGAGACGCTTTCTCATAATTAATGGAATTTCTCGAGGCGTATTATATTTGCATGAGGATTCTCGACTTAGAATTATTCATAGGGACCTTAAAGCTAGCAACGTTTTGTTGGATCAAGAGATGAATCCCAAGGTATCGGATTTTGGAATGGCAAGGATTTTTGGTGGAAATCAAAGTGAAGCCAACACAAATAGAATTGTTGGATCATAGTAAGCCTTTTCTTGTTTCCATACGTTTACATAAATTTGTAATTTTTAGCTTAATCATGGTCTATGGTAGTGTAGTATAGAAAAAAAGCATTTAGAATTTGAGAATGAAACTAGGACTTTGTCACATATGATTATGGAGTTTCTAAAATGCATGTTGGTCTAACTTGATATTATTTGTGTGATGTTCTATAATATCTACAATAGTGGATATATGACTCCAAAGTATGCTATGGAAGGATTATTTTCTGTTAAATCAGATGTTTTTAGTTTTGGGGTTATTTTGCTCAAGATACTAAATGGGAAGAAGAATAGTGAGTTTCATCTTTTTGAGCACGGTCACAGCCTCCTCACTTTTGTATGTTTCTATCTCTTTACTTGTTGTTAAATGAAGAATCATAATGAAAAAGCATATATTGATTTTAACTTGAATAATGTCACAGGCATGGAAATTATGGTCTGAAGGTCATGGATTGGAGTAGAATGACCCAATACTGGTGCAGTTATGCGTGGTAAGTGATGTGTTGAAGTGCATCCATATTGGATTGTTGTGCGTCCAAGAAGATGCAGCGGATAAACCCTCTATGTCTTTTGTAGTTGTTATGTTGGGAAGTGACACCGCGACACTTCCTCAACCAAAAGAACATGCGTTCTCTGTTGGGCGACAAGTCTTAGAATTAGCTCAATGCTCACAAAATCCTAACGTATTCTCTATTAATGAGATAACTATTTCAAATGTATCACCTCGATAACTTATATATTGGGTAGGTCCCTCCTTAAATGGGTGGACCACACCAAGAGTATTTTATTTGTTATTTTATTATAGTTTATAAAACCTCTCAAAAATGCTTTGACTTGGTACCTGTCAAAAAAAAAAAATTAAGTAAGACTTTTGAGTCTAAGGTTTCTTTTGAATACACAACAACACAGAAAGAGGGTCGAGAGAGAGAGAAATGGGAGAAAAGCTAGGGTTTCTTTCATAGTTCAAACCAAGATTGGATGGTCATTTCTTACCCAATCTTGATAAAATTTCAGCATCTTATTCATGGAATCAAGCTCTACATTTTGATTAGAGTGGATCTTGTCAAAGCTCTCTTGGATTGGTAGTTTGGGATACCCACTTTGGTGAGACCTAAACTTCATCTCTTGTTGATTTTGTTGAAACCCACCTTTATGGTGATGATATAAATATTGTTGGTGATCCAAGAATATATCTTAATGATTGTATTCCTCTAGTTGTGACTAGAGATGATATCTTGTAACCCTATTATTTTATAGTGGAAGTTGATTTGGAGTTGGACCCGTGGATGTAGGAATTTTTGCCGAACCACATAAATTTGGTGTTTTGTGATTGTTTTTGTGCCTTTAATTTCATCCATATTATTGCTTTTATTTTGTGATATGTTGCCCATTTTCTAATTACACAAGGAGGGAAAAATATAGGAGGTTTCCCAACAAGAGGTATCAGAGCGGACGGTTTGTGCTTATAAAGTGTTTGATAAAATTCTTGTGTGAATTTTGGAATGGAAGATAATTTGGGGGCTATGCTAAAATTGATATCTTCGAATTATGCGATTTGGAAACCACGAATGGAGGATGTCCTTTACACTAAGGACTTGTATAGACCAATTTATGGTGAAAGTAAAAGGCCGAAAAATATTGATATTGAAGATTGGATGATAATGAATAGAAAAACAATTGCTCAAATTTGACATTGGGTTGATCAAAGTGTGTTTCATCATGTGGCTCAAGAAACAAATGCTCACACTTTGTGGAAGAAATTGGAAGCCACGTATGAGAGAAAACTGCGCAAAACAAAGCTTCTTTAATTAGAAGGCTTGTAAACTTGAAATACAAAGATAGGCACAATGTTGCGGAGCACATGAGTGACTTTCAAGGCTTGATCAATCAGTTGACAATGATGAAGATGGTGTTGGATGATGGGTTACAAGCATTGTTGATGTTGAGCTCTTTGCCTGATAGTTGGGAAACATTGGTTGTGACTATAAGCAATTCAACACCAAATGGTGTGGTCACCATAGATATGGTGAAAGATAGCATGTTCAATGAAGAAGCTAAAAGAAAGGAGCAAGGTACTTCCAGTGAGTCACAAGCTCTTGTTATTGAAAGCAGGGAAAAAAGTAGAAACATAAAAATCTACAACTGTGACAAGTCAAGAGACAAGTCAAGGGACAAGTCTAGAGGAAAATCCCAATCCAAGAAAGACATTGAATGCTATCATTGTGGCATGAAAGGGCATATAAAAAAGGAATGCCAAAAGCTTAAAAGAGAGCAAAAGAAAGAAAGACGTGGTGAGAATAATGGTGATAAAGAGACACTGCATTTGCTTCTAAGAATGGTGATGTTATCATTGTCAGTGATGATGACTATGTTAGGCTCACAAGGCATGATCAGTCCAGTTGGGTGATTGATTCAGGTGCGTCCTTTCATGTTACTTCACATGATGACTTCTTTACATCCTACACACTTGGTGACTTTGGCAATGTGAGGATGGGAAATAATGGTGTGTCCAAGATTGTGGAAATGGGAGATGTTTGCTTGGAGACCAACATTAGTTGTAGGCTTGTTCTTAAAAATATGAGACATGTTCCAGACATTCGTCTTAACTGATTTCCACCGGGAAGCTTGACGATGAAGGCTACAAAAATCAATTTGGTGATAGAAAATGGAAGCTCACCAAAGGTTCCTTGATAGTGGCAAGAGGAAAGAAGTGATCCACTCTTTATATAATGCAAGCAAAGCTAAGTAAAGGCGATGTCAATGCAGCTGAGAAAGAGATCTCTATAGAGCTATGGCACAAGAGGCTTGGTCATATGAGTAAGAAAGGCATGCAAGTTCTAGCCAGGAAAGATCTTCTTCCTAAGGTGAAAGGTACATAACTCAAAGCTTGTGTTCATTGTTTATTTGGAAAATAACATAAATTTCCTTTCAATAGATTTCCTACATCTAGAAAATCACATGTTCTAGATTTAGTATACCCTGATGTTTGTGGGCCAATGAAAGTTAGTAAACTTGGTGGTGCACGTTATTTTGTCACTTTCATTGATGATCATTCTAGAAAAGTTTGGGCTTATGCTTTGAGAACTAAAGATTGTGTGTTGGAAGCATTTAAGCTTTTTCAAGTTAATGTTGAAAGGGAAACTAGGAGATCTTTGAAGTGTATCCGGTCAGATAATGGTGGTGAATACAGGGGTCCATTTGAAGATTATTGCAAGAAGATTGGCATCAAGCATGAAAGAACTATTTCCAAGACACCTCAACAAAATGGTGTGGCAGAGAGAATGAATAGAACAATTGTGCAAAGAATTAGGAGTATGCTCTCTCATGCAAAACAGCATAAATCCTTTTGGGGTGAAGCAATGAGGACATCGGTTGATCTAATCAACCTTTCTCCTTCAGCTCCACTTAATGGTGATATACCAGACAGGGTTTGGATAGGGAATGATGTTTCTTATGGGCATTTGAAAGTGTTTGGATGTAGAGCATTTGTGTACATTCCTACAGATGAGAGATCGAAGCTTGATGGGAAGACAAAGCAGTACATCTTTCTTGGATATGGCTATGAAGAGTTTGGGTACAGATTGTGGGATCCAATTGACAAAAAGGTAGTACGGAGCAAAGATATAATCTTCTTTGAAGATCAAACCATTAAAGACCTTGATAGAGGAGTTGAGAAGCCAACTTCCACAAATGAGTATCCAATAACCTTGGATCGAGTCCCTCCACCCACAGTGCATAATGATGATAGGGGAGAAGTACAAGAAGATGGTTGTGATATAGTTAGTGATGATGCTATGGATTTAGAAGAGTAAGAGGATGAGCAAGAAGAACAAATAGGAAATTATTCAATAATCCCGGAACACCACGTGGCCATACTCCAAGCCAATCACCAATTACTTAGCCCCATGTTGTTCCCCCATCCTCTACATAAATCATGGGCCCATACCCCTCTCTACTAATCAAAACCTTATAAAGTACCACGTGTCCATACTCCGAGAATACTAAATAATCACCCAGAACAAACACCTCTTGAGCCACCAATAGAACCACAATTGATGAGATATACTAGAGAGCGTCAGACTTCAACAAAGTACTCTCCTAATGAGTATGTGATGCTTACAGATGGAGGAGAACCAAAGTGCTACCAAGAAGCTACAACTCACAAGTATAAGGGGGAGTGGTTGAAAGCCATGCAAGAAGAGATGAAATCCTTACATGAGAACCACACTTATGAGTTGGTGAAAATGCTTAATGGGAAGAGAGAACTCAAGAACAAATAGGTCTACAAATTGAAGACAGAAGAAGGAAACTCAGAAAGAAGAAGGAAACTCACAGCTTAAGTACAAGGCAAGATTGGTTGTGAAGGGTTTTAGCCAGAAAAAGGAATTGATTTTGAAGAAATATACTCACCTGTAGTGAAGATGTCATCTATACGAGTTGTTCTTGGTTTGACCGCAAGCTTGAACTTAGAGGTTAAATAGCTTGATGTGAAGATAGCTTTCCTTTATGGTGACTTGGAGGAAGAGATCTACATGCACCAACCTGAGGGGTTCAAAGTGAAAGGCAAAGAGAACTTAGTTTGCAAACTAAAGAAAAGCTTATATGGGTTGAAGCAAGCACCACGACAATGGTACAAGAAGTTTGATTCTTTCATGGTTGATAGAAGAGGACTACTTCTTATCATTGTGTGTTTGTGAAGAGATTCTCAGATGTGACTTCATCATTTTGCTGCTTTATGTGGATGACATGTTGATAGTTGGACATGATGTGAGCAAAATTGAGAAGTTGAAGAAAGAGCTTAGCAAGTCCTTTGCTATGAAGGATTTGGGTCCTACAAAGCAAATAATTGGCATGAAGATTACCCGTGACAGGAAGAATTGCAAGATTTGGCTATCACAGGAAAGGTACATTGAGAAAGTACTTGAAAGATTTCACATAGACAAGGCGAAATCAGTGAGTACTCCACTTGCAAATCACTTCAAACTTAGCTCGAAGCAATGTCTAGCAAGTGAGAAAGAAAAAACTGAAATGAAGAGAGTTCCCTATGCATCCACCAACGGTAGTTTGATGTATGCGATGGTGTGCACTAGGCCGGATATAGCTTATGCGGTTGGTGTTGTGAATAGATTTCTTTCCAATCCCAAAAAAGATCATTGGGTTGCAGTGAAATGGATTCTCAGGTATCTTAGAGGCACTTCCAAGATGTGTTGATGTTTTAGAGATGGAAAATCTCTGCTAGAAGGCTCCACAGAAGCAGACATGGCTGGAGACATTGATTCTAGGAAGTCCACATTAGGGTACTTGATGACTTTTTTAGGGGGAGCTATTTCTTGGCAGTCAAAGTCGCAAAAATGTGTTGCTTTATCTACCACAGAAGCCGAATACATCGCAGTAGCAAAGGGATGCAAGGAGATGTTATGGATCAAAAGACATCCACATGAATTGGTGTTCAAGCAAAAGA